ACATACATACTATACATACATACATACATACATACATACATACATACATACATACATACATACATACATACATACATACATACATACATACATACATACATACATACATACATACGTATATGGGTTATATGCAATCTACATTCAGAGATATGTGTGATAAGTTTTATGACACATATGAGTATGTAAAGGTATATGTCACGCAAATAATGAATCAGATATTACACAATGCGGATCTTTATCAATAGCTTGTTGCGGAAGATCTACTTTAAATGATTTCAAGCGGTGCACTAGTTGAGCATGGGTAAAGTCGATTTGTGTGGGTGTATGTGTGTGCGTTCCCGCGCTTTTTCTTTTTTCTGAAACGAAATGTAGATTTTTTTCATATTGTCTGCACATTTTTCCCCTAGTATTTTTTTATATTGAAGCGAAATATATACATCTGCGACTATTATTAACACATTGAATATATCGCTACGATAATCGATGTTATTAAATTCAGTATAATGTAAAAATACATGACCATGCGCAATCATGGAACTATTAGAAATCTTTAAAATAAAAAATATAAATATGTTTATGAACATATTAGTTTATTTTTAACAATAATTTAATACATTAAATTTTTGCATTATACAAAAAATAAACTCAATCAGCAATTAATAGGCATTTATTATTCAATTAGTGACGATGAGAAATTTTATTTATTTCTGCACATACACTCAGGATTTATTTATATATAATTTATTTTCTCATAAAAAAGATACATTCTGTATATGATACAGATTTTATAGAATTTTTAGGATCACAGGAAAATGGAGTGTTACAAGTATGAACATACACACACGCATACATACACATACATACCACATACACATCATATACACAAATTTAATTGTTCTTTTCAGAATTACAAAATTATAATCAGCCGCTAATATTATAATCATTGCGTCTTCAGGCTTTGAAAAACCGCACAACACGAACAACGTATTGTTTACATATCGGACATTCGGACATTTGTTTACCACAGTTTATACAGCAGGCCATATGGCCACATTCCAAAATTACACACTCAATTGGTGCGTCCCAACAGATTTTACACAATTCTGCCTCGCTGAGCTTTTCCACATCTGTAACAATTCATTTACAATAAATGGCAAAGAAAAAATAAGCATATTTTGTATCAAATTACATTCATGTAGTGTTACGACTGAACAGAAATCCGCTCACCGTCGTCTCCCGTATCTAAAAAAGATACGGGAGATCCTTCTAATGCGTCATATTTTTATAGATAACAGAGAGTTGCGCGAGCATGAAAGCTTTCCATTCAAACTCTGTTCTTTCTATTTTTTATTAAAGAGTTTGTTTCTTTCTACGGAGCTTATTTCGCGAGTGAGCACGAACGATTGACATGTGAATGTCCTTCGAATAAAGAATCGTTACCGTGAGCGTAACATTTGTGGAAATTTCTCAAAAATTATCGACAATTATTCGCGACAATTTTGAAGAGGAGGAAGGCAGTGTACGAAGTGTTTGTTCATTGTTTTCCCGTCTGTGTTAGAAGAGAAGATCACTCTCTGCCAAAACACATTATTTGGCGGATTTCGAGTGAGAGAGCTGCAGAGCAGTTGCGATCGTTTACCAATATCTTTATCATTTTCTTTACTCGCATTTCGTTAATAAAGTTCATTCGTTTTCTAAAACAGTCTTGCTCGCTTCGCAGTCTTGCTCGTGAATGAGTGAGTGAACGAATGTGTATTGTATGAGGGACTGCTATGGACGCAACAATATTTTCTTCGCTATTAATCGCAATTGACATTAATGTCTGAATGTAAATAATATTGTACAAATTGCGCTATGACATAAATACATTTTATGTTACCTTGTCTAAATTGATTATATTCTCGCCATAATCTTGTCACTTTGTTCAACAAGTCCGATCTCTCTATACAGCCTTTATAATCCACGCGATTTGTATTCAATAAACTTTTTAATTGTTTAACACTTAGATATTCTAATTCTGATGCTTCTTTTATATCTGACAATTGCACTTTATCCGGCCACTGTTAGAAAAGAAAAAATGAGATTATAATGAAGGCATATATCATTTTATGAATTTTACTTAGAAATATATACATACCATGGGAATTTCTGTAACCATATCCGATTTTTTCTCGTCTGGTGTTTCAGAAACTTCCTCGTGTTCGATGATTACCGGTTCCGATACAGTATTCGATGCGGTAGGCTCGATTGGATTATTATCAACCTCAAGTATTTCTTCTATTTCTATGTCAGTACTTCTTGTCGGTCTCTCATCAGGTGATTCATCATTGCTGCTTACAGGAACACTAATGATTGGACTACTATGACTACTTTCACTTACTTCTTCTGCCATTTCGACATCCTCACTTCTTACAGGTTGCTCTAAAACCTGTGCATCTGGGGTTGGTTCATTATTTGCAGTACTGACATTTGGCATATTTTCTGTTCCATCAAAAACAGGATCGACTCTGGAACTAAATAATTGCATAGCTTTAAAATATAAATTTTTGTCACAAAATATTACCTGATTTTAACTCAATACTTTTATGAATCTAAGAGTCACTTTATATATTGATTAATATGTCAAATTATAAGAAAATATGTAAAATGATAATCAATTTTTGTTGGAGAAAAAAATTTGACTCTTAACATTTAAGCTGCATTTAGAAAATGCTATTGTAATAATCTATTTTTATCATTTGCAAGAGAATAGAATGATGTAATAAATGTCATTTCAGATACTCTTTCCAAATACATTCTTAATTAATCAATATTTATATAGAATGCTTAAAATGTGACATACTATGATTCTTCAGTAGCATTTTGAGTCCTAGTACTTGTGTTATGATCAAAACTTAAGCAAGAATCAGTTCCATTAGCAAAGAGCATTAGCAAATGCACCAAGTCTTCTTTCTCTGAAAACAAAATATGATCCTATACAAAATTTTTCAAAATTCTTCCTAGGATTCTTATTTCTTAATTAAATAACTATTATTATAAAGATAGTAAAACTTTGTATTCTTATATAATAATCTTATAATATATATAAGAAAATAAATATAAAAAATTTTATTTATAAAAAGGATATTATTATAGAATATTATTAAAGGAACATATCATAAAAAAAATATTATTGCAAAGGAAGACTATCAAAGAGAGACCATTATCAATGAACAATATTAGGTAACTCTTGTCAAAAACTTGCACACATACCAACGCAACCTTTAACAGAAACCTTTTTCGCTACAAGATATTGCCGTAAGTCCCTAGAACGTATCTGCCTGATTTGATTTCTGATAAGTGGTCTCCTTGACAACAGACCACAGCTATCGCAGGAAAATACTTTGTCCAATCGTTTAATCACACATTCGGAGCAAAAATACCTTAAGCAGTCCACACATTGTTTCTAAAAATTATCCAGAAAACTTTGAAAACATTAAAAAAAACGAATATAATGATGTCATAACAAAGTTATAGATCATCAAAGAGTTATAGATTTCATCAGATTTTCATCGACTAGGCGAAGATCCAAAAACTCGCGGAAATAAATTAAAAAAAAAAAGAATATAAATCTTTCAATGACACAAAAAAGAAAACATTCAAGATTATTTGACAAGACAAGTAGGATTAAATGTTAACCATTAAATAATTTAATACGCAATAGACCGATGATGCTTGACGTTACGATAATATTACGATAATGATCACATGATGATCATGATTCTTCAGATTCATCATCAGAATAATACGCGCTGTTTTTTTCTCTTTCTTTTCTCTTGCCCTGCCCCTTAAACGAGGGTCAATACAGTCGAAACTCTTGTGCAATATTGGAAGAGAAATCGTAATAACAGTAGCAATCGGATTCAGTGGAACATTTTTTAACTTGAATGCTTGCACATTAACGCAGTTTAATGTCAAGTGCCTGATCGCTTGGCAAAGAAATGTCGCCAAACGCCCCAGGGAGGTTGGTCACTTACTTTTCTCTTAAACAGGTTGAATTTGGCATTGCATGCCTCGCAAGCCATCTCGCTGGGTCTATCGCTGCCGCTCGTTCGTCGGCCTCCTGGGATCCCCAGGATGGGAACAGTCCGAGCTTCGTGCACACCGTGAGGTATCGCCGTGTCGAGGACGTGAATGTGACTGATAAGCACTGTGGCACATCCACGTATTCCGCATGAAGCCTACAGTGATGCGAATTCCAAACGTTGTGACGGCAACATAATGACGCACACAAGGCCTTTAGCCCGAGATCGATAGACTTGTGACCGCAGATATTTTTATCGGTTCAGTATAGCGATAACGAGCAGTAAACGAGCCCCTGAAGAGAGGGGAATGAAAAAAACATAATCATTCGATCGGTAAAGTAGAGAGGGCCTCGTGCGATAAATACGTAATTTAGAGTTCTCTCATATTTTGACAAAAATGTGTCAAATCGATGTCTTTTCACGTAAAAACGAAGATCTAAAGTGGAAAAATCATCGCTCGTTGCTCTGAACAGAGTAATTAAACGTTGAAATTATATGTTTGATGGTTAGGAATCTGTCTTACCGATGTAAGTTACGTTCGCTGACTGGAGCAGGAGGGCGAGAGGGATTAATGAAAATGAAGCATTCATGGAGCAAACTATCAGCATCAGCGTCATCAGTCTATCCTTGATTTACATCCAATGAATAAAGATAGAATGACGAGATTAGGCTCCCATGGTACGGAAACCTACAATGGAACGGAATGCACAGAGCTAGCGTGATCAATCGTCATGGCGTCATGGGACGCCAACCTAAGGGCCGCGCCGCAGCACACACTTCTGCATAACGCATAAGAAAATTAACCAATCGGAATCTTTCATTTCCATTGTGAGGGTAGAAATGGAGGACTATGATTGATTCATTTTCTTATGCGTTATGCATTATGCCTTATGCAGAAGTATGTGCTCCTGCCCTTAGGCTAATGACGTGCCCTTGAATATAGGCAATGGGCCTGATGCTAATATGGTACCTTTAATGGATGTCGAGGGTTTGTTTTCGAGAATGATTTTCAGTAATAAGTACGTATATAAACGTATCCATATAGTACAAATGTATAAAAAAAAACTTAGAGACATTTAGAGATATTCGAACATTTATAGATGTTTCTAAGATGTCTTTTAAACTGTCCTTGTGTTGTATGGATATATATGATCAAGATCGATAACAATATCCACAATGCAGAGTATTTAATATTTATACGAATGTGAAGGAACACATTGATGTATTTAATTGTTAAATAAAAGAACTCTTTTCCAAGTAACACGCGATTGTCAAGATGATGTCATTATATGATGTCATTTTGACTGAAATTTTGACTAAAAAGTGATAAAGTTTCAGACAAAATAATACCATTTTGATCTCATCATGACAATCGCGTGTTACTTGGATTGGTGCATTTGTGATGGATTTGTGTGATTAATTAAGAAAATTATTTAATAGTAAAAATAGAATGACGCTAACAATGTGTCCCTTGAATATAACATTGTAACATTCAAAAACATTTCATTCTTAATCTAAATATTCGTCATGAGCAGATATATATATACTATAATTTATATTTTTACTATAATTTATATTTTTGACTATAATTTATATTTTTCTTAACATTTTTTTAAAAGAAAATGTTTCTTTTTCTCCTTCTCTGTATATATTATTTGTATACAAAAAAATCATCTTGAAGAACATGAAAAAAGCCATATTTGTAGAAAATATATTTTATTATAATTATTATTTATATTTTACACTCATGTCTACAATATTTTGTAAATTGCTCATTTATACATTCACGTAGCAATAAAACAGCTAAATGCACATTACTATATTTGTATTATGGCAACATGGTGTTTTGTTTTGGAATCTTCAATTACATTTGCTGTAAAATGTGCTAAATGCGCTAAATGTGCTAAATCATTGTACAGAATATTATCCTTAAAATGTCTGATACCTGATGCCAAGATCAAAATCTCATAAAGAAACTTTATATAAATTTCCTGTTCAAGATTAAAATAATGTCTAACATTGTATAAAAGAAAAATTAAATTATAATTATTCCTAGCCGCAATTTTCAGATAAATTCTCTCTAATTCAGCTATATATACATTAGTTTACAAGAAATATAATAAAAATTAAATTAATAAATTATGTCGTGTACATATGTGGAAGGAAACGTTCATTCAACTTTACTCATTCCTGTATAATCACACAAGCGCTCGCGAATTCAATATTTTATTACATTCCGTGCCATCGTGTACTATTGTCTCGTACACGTAGCTATATGGCTAAATCAAAATGTTCTCACGCTGTACAAATAAATATGAAATACTTAAAATACAACGGCTGTTAGTGCCATGTGTTTTACCGGCGTAATGCCGGCGACTAGCCAAACTTTTGGCAGTTTCTCGTGTTCGAATGCTACGAATATATGTAACAATACATACATATGCATTTCCGGCCGAATATTTCAGCCTATCACGGTATCATGATCACGGTAATCTCTTTATATTAATACTTTATATTATCTATTTACGAACTCCTTTTATTAATTACCTTTAATTAATTTACGTAAAAAAATTCGTAATTCGATTAAGTTACGTTAATCGTGATTTCTGACACATTGTTGTAATCGAGTGCTGTAATCTTAGTTAATTCACATTGTTACGCCATTCAAGAAATGCAAGTCACTGCAGATTTAAGCAATATGCGAACATTGACCGCATGCGATCATTACAGCGCCGATTATCATGCCGGAAATCAGAATATTATATTAAAGGACATCGATTCGTGCCAAATAAGGTTCATTATCTGGTCATTATCGAAAGTTGACGCAAATCGCGAAAATCGTGTCGAGTTTGCGAAAAATATTTTATACGATCGGTCCGAGCAAATCGTGCTTAAGCCCAAGTAGAAATTAGAGACAATAAAATAAGTTGTATCGTCTAAACGCGATAAGTTAAATCCGACCTCGTATCTATCATCACATTGTAACGAGTGATAATAATAAACAAGTGATTTGGTGAAGACATTGCTCTGAGTTCTTGGCTCTTCTTTTCATGGTTCCTCTCTCTTAAGGCGAACCGACTATTTCATTTTGTTGTATCGCGAGGCACAACATATTTTAATTTAACTAAAATTACATGGGATGTACAGTATCCTTCGTGTTCTTCCTTGATATCCTCGTGAGAGGCTCCTCGTCGAGATCATTGGAGATTTGATTCCAATGTTCGTCCTCCTCGTCCTCTTCTTCATGCATCGAATCTTTTCTGAAAAGCGTAATAGCATTTTTTATTAATTTATAGTAAGCATTCTAAGATAAGATGTACTGTAGACTTGACTAATTATTGTGCTGAGAAAGTGTGACTCTAATCTTATCATAATTTATAAAAACTTTCATGAAAATTCGTTTAAACAGTCGATTCCGGGAACAAAATCCAAAACTAGTCAATGTAAATTAGTTAATAAATTAATTAAATAATCTAATCAAACTAAAATTAAGATTAAATTGATATTTAATTTAAAATTGATATAAATTAATTAACTAACTGATACTTGTTGGTAGATGGCAGGAATAATGATTTCGGACAATCCTTGAAATACGGCCAGCATTCGCCGTGAAATTTCCCACGATTTTCCGCCTCGACATATTCCTTGAGGAGATTCGCGAACGGCGATCGGCTAGCACTAAAAATATAATGTTTCGATTTAATCTGACACGTTTTTACATGAAAATACTTAACTTATTTAGCTTTCATTTATAAAAGACAGAATGATGCTACAACATGAATGGTGCGACAACTCTTCAAGAGTTCAACTTGCTCTGCAAGAAATCTATAAATTGAAAAACTTACGTGAAGAATAGCTTCAGCATTTCACCGATTAGTCCAAAATTATTTAAATGATGTCCTTGAACCTCGCAGATTGCTCTCAACAAACAGGCTTTCCCGTTCATTCCCAGTGTAGTTAACATATCCTCGGCGGTGCCGTAGAGTAAAGCTCGCTCGCCGCCGTGGAACGCGTTTCTCGGCATCTCCGTCACGTCTCGCTTGTGCAATCTGCGTTTAATGAATGCCGCGATGAAGTCCGCCATCATCATCCCGGCCTGTCGACTCTTTAATTTCCTGTCGAAACTCGGTGGTAGAGCACCATATGGATTTTCATTGTCTGTCAGGCCCAGCTTGTCGAAGTCAACTGGAATAAAAAAAAATAAATAGTGTGAAATTTCTTTTTCTTTGGAACTTTTTTCGTATGAAATTCGAATTTCTTTTCTTAAACTCAATTACATGTATCGCGCGGTAATGTACTCACTCGTGAACGGTAGACTAATAGTCATATTACTGAGGAATCCGTAAGGTGGATGCCGAACGAAGGGTAACGCTAATGTTGGCGTAATTGTCATTACGGTACCGGGTGGTAATGCGATTCGTCCATCATTCGTGAACCAGAAAACCCTCTTCTGCCTGTGATGCGGCGACGACTCGCCTTCTGAGGGCTCCTCCTTTGCGTTCTCCTTTGTTGATACAGACTCTTTCAGCATAAGCAAAGCGAACAATAGTAGAAGACCTTGTCGTGACATTCTGCGCAACTGTCAGGCAACTATCAAACAGACCTATAAACAGTATTTCAAATAAGAGCGGTTAAAAGCTTTCTTACACTCGAGTTTGTTGCTACGGTCAGATATATCTCTCGAAGAAATTAATAGATTTGCTAATCGGCAGAGAAGGCTAGCGGACACCACAGGCGGCAGCGACTATGGAGGACCGCAGGTTAGATTAATCGTCTTATTTGCGAATAAAACGTACGGAGTCGCGTATAATAATTTTCATCCTTCTGATGGCAACATCGACGTTTCAAGTAGGCCGCACGACAGATCCCGCGAAATTCATTGCGATAAATCCCGCGTCGATGCGTGCGTATATTATATATTGCAGTGACGAGAATTACGGTACCTGGCGATATCACCAGGTACCTGGAGTCGGTCGTACAGGAAAATATTTTCGCGACAACGAATGAATTTGTCCATCATCATCATCATCATCATCATCATCATCATCGGCGATTCACATCCTGTTCCCGGTAAGAAACCGGAGCGAATGACGAACGCAAAGAGATAACCCTGTACGACGCGCACGAGATAATTTTCACCTAATTATATTTCGGGACGAGTATCGCACTTGGCAATTTGGCCAATTAGAAAGTTCAATAAAGGGGATAGAGTGTCTTAAAGAAAACCATAACCCCCTTTTCACCTGCTGTAGCCATTGTTTTCTTTTGCGCGCTTTTGTTACGTGTCGATTATCGTAATCAGGATTGGGGTAAGCTTTTTTTAAATTAAATTCAGTTAAAATTAATGAAATATGAAATCAACTCAGTTGCAAAAATTGACAATAAATTCTGAAAAATACTTTTTTTTTTTAAATTAACATTTTGTGAACGAATCATGTGAATTCTTGTGTTTTTCATTCTAATATTTAAGATTCTTCTCTATTAGATTAGTGCTTTTTTGTACATAACCTGATGTGTACAATGTATGTATATTATCATAACACATTGCAGACTGTAGTCATTTTATACTTGGCTGTTCTTCACAATGTCCTTCAAAAATTCTCGAAAATTCTCGAAAGACAGAATGCCTGGCCTATGGATATAGCTAGTTATAAAATGACTATTATGTGTTAAAATAATACATATATCATATCAAATCATGTTAAATCATATATTACATATTTATGTTGTAAAATTATGTTTTAAAATTAAGAATTAGAAAAGAGAATAATTATATTTGAGGTTATATACAAAAAAGCATAATTACCATGAAATTGCTATCTGCATGCTTTGAAACAAAAGTTAACTTTATTAACAAATAAAGAAATCTAATAGAAGAATGAATATAATCTGAATATTAATAATAACTTTTTACAATATCGAAAATTTTTATTAAAGAAATGTACTTTTTAGTTTTTTAATCATTTATTAAATGATAACATTAAAAAAGAAGATTATTCATTTCATTATTAAAAACAAGCTAAACATAATTATATTTTGATTAATTGAGAAAATTATTTCAGCTTATTTGTTGAAAATTTGTATATATGTAAAACAATAGATATATTTGATATAATAGCAACATAATTTTTCTTACCAAATTTATTAAAATATATTTTGTAAATGCAAATTAGATTTTTCACACATAATTTACTGCAATAATAATGATATCTACAAAGTTTCTTACGTGTCAATAATCACTTTCAGATAATTTCTTAATCAAATGCACTTAGTTATAAAAAGTTAGACTTGCACAGCATAGTTTTATTAAACCAATTCATCTTTTTACATAAGATTTTCCTACTTGCGATGACGTGTGGTCCGGGTTCACTTGACTTTGGCCTATTGGGGAGAAGCCCCTCTTTGATCAGTGTATAACAGTATAATGGACTGCAAAACCACCTTTGGTTAACCAGGAAAACCAGGCGACCGGGCTTTGCCCTGGAAAAATGTGAGTCATGTTTGCTTGTATATACCGTACATCATTCGTCGCATTGCATTCATTCATTATATTCAACACGAGTTATTCATTTTACGAGCCTCGATAGTTCTGTTCAAATCTGAGTTCATATATTATAATTTATTTGAAATTAAATCAATTTTTTATGCTGATAACATAGACACAATCTTCTTCTTAAACTTAAAGATAAAATATATCAATATAGTCCTTAATCGACAATTGCTTTGATATTATAAATCTGATATAAAGCAACGAAGATCGCTACTCATATCACACAATGTATTTTAAAATCTGACTATGAATTTAAGCAATCGTGCCTCGAATATTGTAACAAATATTCATCGTACATTCATCATAGTTGACCGGTCATCACCCTCAAAAAAAAGAGAGAAAGAAATTTAAAAAATAACGTTTTTGCACATTATCTTGTTTTAGAAATCAACGGAAGTGCCGGAAACATCGACTTGCTTCGATCTAGATCGGTGGTGAATGCTGGCCCACATTGTTTAGCGCGAGGCGAGAGTTAAAGTTTGGAAGAGGAAAGAAGGTGGGCCGACCGCTAAGCGCATTGTGCAGAATACGTAATATGTATTGACCCCCATATTTCGATATGTACGCCGTGTCGTATCCGCAAAGAGGGCTCACGCAATTGGCCAGTCGATGTATTTTAAATTAAGCCTCGGTAATTAGGTCCCGGTACTGATATCGGCCGCGAGCCGTGCGTTTTTAACGAGGCACCGTTAGTTACCTCGTAAAAACCGGATCAATTTTAAAATCTGGTTTCCACTGGTCCGGAAGGGACGGAATAAAATGAATGAAATTTGGTAATAATGTTAACAACCGTTAAACATCGGTGATGCGAAGATTCTTTCTCTGAAAGAAATTTTTATTTTCAAAGAATACGAATTTTAAACAGAACTTTAAACAGAAGTAAGTTAAAATTCTACGGATTTCATCAACAATTAAAAATAATACCAATAAAAGCAGATAGATATATGTATGTAAAAGAATTTATCTTGATAAAAAAAATAACGAAAGTTTCATATTTTAACTTTTGCTTGAGTCCTCTTCAATACATATGACGTTCAGTTATATAAAATCATACATTAATTATTACATTAAACAAACCTAATCATCTGTATAACAAACTTTTCATAATATGGCAAGATAAGTATAAAAGTGATGTGAAGTGCATAGTTGAAAGATAAAACCAGACGTCGAGTAGATATGTTTTATCGTACAAAAATAATACAGTATAATCAACAATCTTTGATTAGAAGATACATAATAATACGTATAAAAGTAAAATTTTATATAACACATGTTGTGAATAGAATATATATAGAATATTTCTTAAATAATGCTCAATCCAATTAGCCTGGTCCTTTAAGCTTTGTCCACAATGCTAAAAATAGCTTCGAGATCTCGAACAAAGGGAAAATTGATCAAACATTTGCTATTCGTCAATTGGTCAATATGATTGGTTAATTTTTTCTTTGTCTGAAGTCTCGGATTTCTGGCATCATAGATATAAATCTTAAAAAATTGGCGTTGATTGATTTGAGCGCTATTGAGGCATATGTGAGTGAGACAAAGATAGCTCATTCATGTAGGTCCAATAGTTCACGCACACCATCAAGTGACTTACTCATATAGGCCCGTCCAAAGGATGGCCTATTGATTGGATTAACCTTTCTCAATTATTTATTTTATTATTCATTATAGAAAAAAGATTTAGGACTTTTAGATGTAATTTTTTATGAGAAATATTGCTACATCAGTAAACTATTTAAGAAGCACTCTATATACACGCGTTAAAAATTCAACAATTTCAGATTAGTCTCATCTCTGAGATCAATCATCGCACATTATGGAAAGATAGGAAGTGAGGAACGGGAAAGATAATTGGCGTGAATATCGAATATTATTTTTAACATTAAAAAAAATTATAAATTGTCAAACTAGAAATTATCACGACTGCCCTACGAAATCGATGCTCACCTCCTCCTGTTAATTCGTTAAATTTCGCTGGATTCGTTAACCTTTCCTGAATTAAGTTTAGCGCCTAAAATCGGTTGAGTTGCGGCGCGAGTCGATTTCAATCATAAACGCAAACGTTATTACGGTTTCGCTGCAAACGCGTTGCAACTGGAGAAACCCCCTCGCGTTCAATCTTATTGCATCTACATACATACGTACAGATGCACATTTTATGTTCTTTCGCATCAAAATGCAGCGAATTCCTGACCTAGTGCCTCCTATACTTATGCTTAACGGTAGTATCGTTATAATACTCCGTACTTTGAAGAATCGCACACTCACTTCTTTTCACGAAAAGAAAGAAAAAAAAAAAAAGAATTCTACATCCCCAATATTGGTTTTGATCGGGTCAATATCGGATTATTCCTTGACTGAGATTTTATCCGTCAAGAATCAAAGAACCATTGCCACCTTCTCTTCCTTCACTTGGAGTTACACGTCGTAGACTTAATTTACCGTGAGTGTAGCCACGTGTATCGGAAAGAAATTATCTCGCGGTCAGCTACTTTCTAAGTGTAAACGACACGTGCGGTTGTTTTGCTGAGCGGGCAATTAAATCCAGTCGAAGTAATTATTATAGGATGTCGTAATTATTATTATAGAAAGAAAAAAAATGTATGTAATGCCGAAGGATATACGGAAATTAGGTGGATTTTAATTTCTATTGAAATCTTCCGATAATACACTCTCGGATATCAGCGTATGATGTAATCTTTTTTAATCGTACTTCCGGTGTAATATCATTCCGGTCTAAAGATTTATCGGGAGTTGATGTAACGGTCAATGATCCTATTTCTCTCATATATACGCGTTTATCGCACATTCGGACGAAAGCGAACGTGATGATTTGCAACCTGTTAGAAATTAGTCTTTCGTATCTAGGATCAATTTATTCTGAGAATTGTGCTAAATTGTGGTCTGTGTTATGCACTTTGTACTTGAATACTAAAACCAATGTTAATTATTAACATGTGAAAAATTTATTGGAAAAGGAAAAACAATTATAGACATAAACAATGGTGCTATTCGAGCCATTTGGAATTGTCCAGGATTGATACCGTAAACTTGAACTGAAAAAAAAAAAATCCAGAAAAAATCGGGTCCAAAAGAGGGGGATATAGAATTCTATAAGGGCTAACAGTTGGGACTACAAGTTGGGAGACGCCCCGGTCTAAGGCCTTTCTAAATGGCCAAAATTGTCGGAGCGTAATCGCCGCGGGTCTTTTGAGGAAAACGAGGAGGTGCTCAAATTCCTCCATCCGATTGGTTACAGTTCTATATTTCTTATTCTTTAAGGATAGAGACGAAAACGTTCCAAGTATAACATAATGTGATTTTGTATGAATTTGCACGTGCAAATCATGTTATTAGGTATTCTCAATGAAATTAAACATGATAGAAACATATATAATAGCAGTACACAGATGAATTATAAACAATCATAAGTATAGCATAAGTAGGGCATTTATTGTTCTTATTCCGACCCTACTTTTTCACTTATTAATATAGAAGAATGGTTAACGTGAAACCTAAAGATCAAAGATATTGACACAAAGTGCCTTGATTATACTGTGATTTTAATACATCAACCACTTAGGAATTTCCTAATCAGTGAACTGATCAGAAAATTTTATATTGATCAATTAACGGTTAGCAATTAGATGCTGCTCGATAAGAGCTTTAGAGAGATCTTTCGAAGACTTTCCCCTCGTGAGAGGAAAAAGTAACATTTATTTTTATATCAGTTATCTATACAACAGATAAATACATATTTAACTTGTGCCAGCTTTGCATAAGTTACTTTTGGTTTCGTCAACATAACGATTAAAGGTATTTTGCTTTTCAGCGTGACTTTTGACACTATTCATCGTTTTGATTTATAGCAATTGATAAATATATCTAATATACTAATTTATAATTAGTATAAATTAGCACAACTTTCGATTTTATCAATGGCTATTAGACATACAATTTTAAGGCTCCTATTCAAATACTTTGCTTTCTTAGAAATTCGGCTTATCATATTGATTGTTAATAGTTTTAAATTTAAATTTAAAAAATAGATTTCTCATCGAAATTCGATATAATTTGGACAGTTCTTTGAGTAATTTAGTAGCTTTATTTTGCAAATGTCTAGAGTTTTTGATACATAAAAAAATTAAAATTTTGAAAAATTAATTTTAAGATATTGATCTGAGATATATATATATATACAATTTTTCGACAGAATTCATCGAAAATTGTTTCGAATTTAAAAATTAGAATTATTTAAAAGAATTCTGACAGAAATTTTTAATCTAAAAAAATTTCGATTACCGTACAAATCTTAGATATGCAAACAAATGTTTATGTAGATAAAAAAATTTTAGCCATTTCAATAATATTTCAACAAGATTGTGAATCTTTCAGTTAGTTTTTTCTGTAAGATTTCTGAAAGAACAAAAATCGCGGATATCTTGCGATTATTACGGAACATTACAGAACGGACTTAGACCTGTTTCGCGATGTTCTTTTTTAATTTTATCAGTGCTGTATGGGCTTGGTTTTAGAAAATATCCATACACTGTGAAAATGTGCACACGCAACCGTTATTCACGCGTAACCATGTGGACTCGTCGATCAGTAATCATAAGCCTCGCGTATTCACTACACGTGCTTAACCACGGAGATTAACCCGTTCACTTGCGTCCAGCAAAACCGGCGTTCGATCATGGCAACCACCTATCCGTCATCACGAGAACACTTTTTCGAATAGCAATACGTAGAAAAAAACTAAACAGCAACGTGACGGAGAAGTCCGAAGGCGAAAAAAAAGGCTTGATGCTCGATTAAACTTGACATCATCGAGGAAGGAAAGAGGAGGTGCTTTTGTGGCCACTTGTTGCTGGGATGAAAAAATGGTGCTAAAGGAATATTCCTTTCTCCCTCCTCTTTATTCAGCTTTAGAAAATAAAATTGAAATACGTATGCCAATGCGAGTAATCTCACTCAACGCAAAAATAATACTTCGTTATTAAAAAATTTTCAAAATGATCCAAATGCACTCAAAGAAAAGAATCTGAGGAAAAAATTTGATTTACATATATATCATGACAAATGGAGAAATTTTTAAATTATAGAAAAGATAACTCCTTTCTTTTTTTTCTTCGTTTTTTATGTCATAAGAGTTCAACAATTTTAACGCAAGAAATTTTATGAATAAGTAGATAAAGTTCTATACTTTACGAGATATTAAACGTGCGGATAAATAGCATCGGAAGAGGAAGAAACTTTAATTGTAAGTTGACGTGACTAAGCTAACGTAACACGCGCGTAACATCTTACCTTTTATTCAGCCGCAGGTGCAATATTTTGCGGACGGATCCGCCGGTGGGACGAAATGTAGGGTAATTTTGATACACACTGATTAACAGAGCCGCGGCTCGACGTAACGCGATGTCTCCTCGCAGGTGAATCGTCGCAACATGTCCAGTTGAGCACTTTACCCTCGATCCGCTTGATTAGGGGAGGATAAAAAGAAAGGGAAGGGTAAAAAAAAAAAAAAGGAACAGAGAAAAGTACGACACAGAGCGCACTTGCGTGCAGTCACCTCACGTGCCGCGGCATTGTTATCCGTGAAAAATAGAACGGGCGACAGACCGGAACGCGGACGTTTTCTTCTACTGCTCGCGATTTATCATATCAAAGGGTCTCTTTTCGTGGAAAGTGATGAATCCATCCTCCGTTGATCGCAACTCTGTCTCACTCTGCCTGATCCTCAGAAGAAAAATTTCGGCACAAGAGGAAGGTCACAAGTTGCAAGTTCCTGCGTGAATCCGAGCCGGCCACTTTTTCGTTGAAGGCATATTTTTTTTTCCTGGCGAACATTTTTTTTTTTTTTTTTATTTTACTCACACACTTATGTGTCTATCAATTTCAACGTTCATTGATTATGGCACTTCAAATAAAGAAAAAGAAAGATCGTATTTTTTTTTTTCTAATATCTCAAATACTTTATTTTCGCTTCTGTTTCGTCTGTTCGCGGACGCGATGCCTCAAACGTAGCGCATCGGACTCGATTCGCGCACCTGCCAAGACAGAATAACAACACTCGCGATTCCTCGTCTCATTTTAAACTGCCGCACGTGCGATTTCTGGCAGTGCTGCCACCTATGAATTTTTAATTCCACTATATGTTTTACTAGAAAATCCCAGGACAAGCTAAGTATAAATAGTCGTATGACAGTTGTTAAAATTAAATTCAGAAATGTTCAGAAAAAAAGGTTCCACCTAATTTGAAGCTACTCCGGGTAATCATTTACAAAAACTACAATATAAATTTTTTTAATGTTTTGGCAGAAACTAGCAGTATAAAACATTTTTAATTTTTAAATATCAATATTGATGTAAGATTTTGAAATATTATATTTCATTACATTTTGATTTTATTTTTGATTTTAATTCTGGGAAATCCGAAAATAGACAGAAATATTTCCTCGCTCTTTAAAAATTCATTTTTTTTACAAGGAAATGTTTTATAAAGAAAAAAAAACGCGAAATAAGAATAAATATTAATAAAAAATAATTTCGACAATTGCAATTTTCGACGATGTGTTCTACAAATTGGCAGAGCTTAAGCTGAATTAAGGGAAAAAATAGTAGAAAATTATTTTTGACCCGTGTTTTACGTTTTTGTTTTATTGATTTCTTTCATTTTCTGGATAATCGAGCCTTATTTGGATTATTAAATAAAACGAATGTGTTTTGTCCGGGCAGAATTATCCTGCGTTTTGTTAACAATTATTTTACCCTTGATTATTGAATCCCTAACTCGTGTTGGTCCCGTTTAAAATCGAGATTTTTAAATTGAAATATATTATGCCGAAATTTTGAAGAAATATAATACAATACAATAAATACAAAATTATAATAATATTCTGATAGTGTCTTGATCTTCGTTCATCGTTTGCAGTTTATCGTTCAAGAATACCATTTCCGATTGTTTTCGATCACACTTTTCGTCTCTCATGCAAGAAAACGACGAAATTGTTTCAGATATTAATTTAGAAAAAGTATAATAAACCGATGAAATTAACGGAAAGTTAAAACTGAAAGAAATCTTGAATTTGTACTTTCATCTAGTCTCAGAATCTTCCAGCGCGCGAGTCGAAATTTCTAGCTCAAATAATGCGATTGTCATGATAAAGACAAGGTGACTGAAATTTTATCACTAATCAAAATTTCAATCAAAATGACATGATCATGTGACAACATCTTGATCTTATCGCGATTCATGTATTAAGAGACGATGTGTTGCGAGACGATCTGTAAAATTCAGATAAAACACAGAAAAAACTAGTCTTAAATCAAATATTCTCATATGCAAAAATATAATCTTTTTAAAAATTTTAGTTTTTATTGAATTTGTATTGATGCAAGTATTACTTTTGCTCAACTCAAGAAAAATTTTCTGTATAAAAATATTTTAATTTATATGGGAATGTTTATACTTGCATCAATACAAATTCAATCAAGACTAAAAGTGTTTTTCTAAGAAAGCTATAATATTCTTGCTTACATATGGGAATGTATATATCGGTCTCGATTTAAGACTGTCTTATATATATTTTTTTTTATGTGCGATTGATCGCCCGGAATAGTGACGGCTCGCGTGAATCTATCTCGGATGAGCCGTCACTGTTCTAGATCTAAATATGGACTGAGAACAAGAGAACGAAGAGACACACGCGGAAAAGGAAGACAGACGTTACGCAAAATGAAAGAACTAGCCAATCGGGGAATGAAAAAGGGGAAAATCAAAGCATCTACGAAGATAACGGTATATAAACGTCGCAGAAAAAAAAGGAGAAAAAGGGGGGTTAAAGAGGGAAAGGTAGTTACGGTTACAGCATAATAAAGATTACCGTTAACAATGACGAAAATTTTTTATGTTTAACTCACTCCTGAATTATCGATTATAATTGGTCACACGTAACGATTAATGACTTCGAGATACTTTGATCGATCTTCTTGCCATCGAATCATACGAGAAGAAACGGAAAAAATCAAGTATTTGATCAAATGATTTATAACTTGGTAGTCTAACGTCTGCGATTTTTTTAAATAAAAGAAAAAAGAGAATGCGTTAAAAAGTATATGATTAATTATAAATTAATATTTTATACCATAGGCTAGGAATTAAATTACAACCAAATTCAGATGGCACAGGTATATTTCATTCTTCGTATCTATGTTTCTTTGTACTTATGTATGTGTATAAACCAAACTTAAAACCGGTATATTGTTTCTTATAAATCGGCTATTTTGCGCGTTTGTTTAGTTATTGTCCAAGAATAGAATGATATGTTGATCAGCGTGGAGAGTGAAACTGCTTGTCTGGCTTCTAACAGGTTGGCACAGCTAATAAAAGCTAAAATATGAAAATGTGTCGTAATATAAATGTGATGAAAGAACTCCGAAGCAGCAATCATCTTCTGTACTAAGATCGATCAGATACTTTTACGATTCTAGTTTTTAGGTCGTTTGGGAAGTCAACTACAACAATCTCAGCCGCGTTCCGATATTCACTGTCAAGTATTGTAAATTTATAATATATGTAAAACGCATTATGCATTTTCAATACTGACAGTGCAATCCTTGTCTCGTAGTTTCGTAGGCATAAGATGTTCAAGACATAAGATAGAGAATTATATGATGTATTGACTCGTCGCGTGAATCGTCAGAGTGATTGGAGATCCTCTCGCCATTCAGGATGGCGAGAGGAAAACAAAAAAATATCCTGCAATTTTGCGAGAATTTTGAGCGACTTCAATACGCAGACTCGTTAAAAAATCACTTCGGGAACGTGCAATAAAATCTTCTCTTTTCCCATTCTAAGTACTATAATGTTTCGAGTTCTGAGGAAAGTAAGTCGCACTCCGTTCTTTTTAGCGCAAAATAACAATCTTTATTACTATTGCGATCGCGCATTCTTCTCGTTTTTCAAACACGCGTACAAAAAAAAAATTGCATTTATTACACAATTCCTTTTTCATAGAGCAGTGGACGGCAGAAAATTATAATTTTCAGATCAATTTCAGCATCGATGTTTATTTTTCTCAAGTGTTCGCAATGGACAAAAGAAGAAGAAGCAATAAACGTCGGCGCTGAAATCAAATCGTAAAATTATATTTTTTGTCATAACTGTCATAGGGCATTCAAACACCGAATATTTTAATGATTGGCTCATGAATTGGCTGATGAAAGAGAGAGATATCTTATATTTTTCTGGAAAATATTTCTAAATTCCGATCGAGATCGAAGATATCATAACGAGTGGGAAACGCGCGATCGCATTGCGGAACTTCGAACGATGTAAATTCGATAAGAGGTTTGCTTCACACTTCGTCGCAGTCGCTTCGGCGAAGAATCCGCTTAATGATTGTAATTACAAACTAAAAGATGTCCCTTAGGACTAGTCTAAACCTAAAGCCAAGCGTGCATTAGCAATCTTTCGTCACATTAGAAAATTGCTCTATCAAATAATTCCAGAATGCCATAATAGAAAAAAATACAAGCTGCGTTATTAAATGCGCGCGATTTCATATAAAACAATGGTCTATTCTGGAATAAACAAATCATTGCGTAATCGAGAAATTGCTAGTGCGCCCTCAGCGCCAAAAGGCACAATCATTTAATAAATTTTGTACAATTTTGTAAATTTTGTACATTATTGTACAATGCTCATCGAATAAAATTCTCTTGGATCTCGATTAATCCTCCAAACATTCAATGTAGAAGGTAACAACGGGCATTTTACTGAAAAAGTCGGGAAACACTTGGCTCGTTATTTGGCAGTGTAATTAAAGTCTATTTGGAACTGAATTGAAAAATATGATATTATTACTTATTTATATCTCTCTGGATATTAGCTTGAAAAATTAATTATAATCTTGATCTACTTATACTTGATACTCTGATATAATAAATTATAAATCTCTTATAATGAATTTTCCAAAGAATTCCAAATGAATTTTCCATCGGAAAGAGATTCTTTCTTAACAAAAATATACAAACAAGTCCAAGTTTCTTGGAGACTAAATCTTCGTGCATAATAATACTATATTTTTCAATTTGATTCCATGAATATTTTGATTGAATCTTAATTCATGACTAAGTTTGAATTAAAATTGGCATGAGAAAATCGATTGACAGATCGATTGACGGATTGGCAGAAGATTGAGACCAAGAGATATATAATGAAAGTACTCAGAATAGATCCTGGTTGGAATTATTCTGTTTTTTTTGTTTAAAAAAAAACAGTAGAAATCTAGAAAATAACTAAGAATAATTCTACCTAAATCCATTCCGAATACTTAATCTGATATGAAATATTCTACGCAAAAATATTAGATTTTTTTTCCTTAATCAATTTTTGCTCATTTTAAACTATACCATATAAACTATACTGGCAAGGGAAGAATCAGAAGTGGAAACACGCAATTGAAATACAGTTTCTTGCAAAAGATAGTTGTTTGTGTCTATATTAGGAATCCCAAATCCTAACTTCAGACACCCCTTAGTTTTTTACAAATTAATATAAATTTTATAATAAATATAAAAATTTAGCGAATAGATTAATTACTTGACATGATAGATCTCAAAAGAGAAAAAAGTCAAATCATCATGATGTTCCAATATTAAGTTTTTCTTTCGTTATTCGCGATGATGCAGTGGACAGTAACGTTGATGGGAGCATCCCGTTTGATTCACGTTGCGATTGACTACAGCCACTCACAGCGGCCAGTGTCTGCAGCTTTTCCTTTGTTCAAACGCTATGAGTGGCAGGTGATCAATTGCAACGTGATCAAATGGGCCCTACTCGCATTGATTACCCGGGTTCAGTATCATTTACTTTCTTATTTACTACTATCATTTACTACTCTATCTTACTTTTACTTAATTTTTCTTCTATTACTCTAGTTTACTTTTGATTTTTTCTCTTTTCCTTGAGATCTGTCATCCTGCCAAATGATTAATCGAGTTAACTTCAAAATTTTTATACTTATTAATTTGTTAAAAAACTAAGGAGTATCTGAAGTTAGAATTCGAAATTCTTGATATGACACGAAGAATTACCTTTTACAACAAATCGCATTTTAAAAGCACATTTTCACATTTGGCCCTCTTCTTGCCAGCGATTAATAATTTAAAAAACAATAAAAAATTGATTATAAAAGTCAAAGCCTCTAGTATAGATGCGTTTGAGATGAATTTTTACTCAATTTAAATTCCTAGAAGTGTGAATAGCTTTATAAGATACAATTGAAATATCCAAAATTAAAATTTTTAATCATAAAGTAAGGAGAAAATCAAAGATTATGATCGATTAATATGATACAAGACATTCTTCTAAAAGTACGCAGTTTCCTTCTTTAAATAAAGAAAAAATTAAAAAGAAAAAATTGTTTTACATGTGTAAAATGTGTGCAGTGTATGTGTATTTGTGTCATAACAGAGATAAGGACCCCACGATTCGTCACTCTCGCAGTATTTAATGACTCCAAACCTTCTCTGCTGTATGTATATCATGCAAATGTCGGCATCATTAAAAAAAGATAAAAAAATAAGATTGATTTTAAGTTATTTTCATCAAATAATAGAGTGATGGGTTTTTTTTTATTTGAGAAAGGAAATTGCATATCTTAATAAAATGGTATTAAACATCATACTCTTCGATATTTTCCCTACTTTATGGTAGATTAGAGATTTCAAGATTTTGATTTCAAAAGTATTCTTATTCAAAGCTGTCTTTTAGGAATTTAAAAATTTCCAAAATATTCTTATTTAAAAATATTCTTATTTAAAGAATACTTTTAGGAATTTCATTGAATAAAAATCGATCAAATACATTTTATAACAGTTGCTGAATAATTGTAATTTAAAACAAAAATTAATCAAGAAAAAGAAATCTTCTAACTCTTTTGCGTAAAATATTATTATTTTATCTATTACTATGATAACAAGATTACGTCATAGTAAAATAAACTTCAGTTGTACTACGTTTAACAACTTTGTCCACGAACACGTTGATTATCCATCATGTTATGATAACCATAGTTTTCGTAATGCAGTGGAATATTTTGATCTGATACATGATCATTCGCACATATCCACATTTGCATGTGTAATTATGAATCGACATCATGATATGAGTTTTACTTTAAGTCTCGTGTAATCGTCTCTTGTAATATTTAAGACAAAACAATTGCTATGTTATACTACCTATTGTCTATCGATTAACACAACATTTAACTATTACTGTAATTAGCGTTAACAAATTAAGAAAGTCTTTGGTTCTTACATTCTCTTTTCTAAGAAAATGTATTTTTTTTTAAGCAAATTGCTTATATATGATAAAGTTGTTATATATAAAGTTGTATCTTATCCAGCGTTTGCCGTTATCTATATAAAATTATCTAGATAATTGTTTAGATGAAGAAATGGCTTTATTTTATCTTTATCTAGATGATTAGATCTAGATGATTATTATCTTCGTCTTTATCTTAGATAAAATAAGTGTATCTTTTGCAAATTATCTTAGTATTGCAAATTATCTTAGTAATTTAAAGTAGATTTGATCTAATCTTTGAATAAAAATGAACATTTGCGAGTCATAACAGATATCATTTAATGCCAATAATTACGACTTTTTATGTATAAATATTCAATTAATTTTTTGATTTAATTCGTATCAAATATTTTTGAATGAACATTATTCAAACATTATTCAATTGTGCTGGCTATGTGATTAGAATAAATAAATCATTTATATCGAGAAGCGTATTAATTATATTTCGCATCTTTACTTACGTTATCTAACCAATAAATAGTAAAAATTTTATAAAAATATTGTTTTTGTATCTTATATCTTGTTTAATAAAGATTTTATTTTAAAATTATCTAGATCTAGAAGTGACACATCATTTTATCTTTTATCTAGATAAATTTAGATTTTAATCATTATTTTATCTAAGATAAGTTTAAATGTAATTTATTTTATCTTTATCTAGATGATTTTAAATTATCTAGATAAGCGCAACACTGGTCTTGTCAATTGTATTTGTTTTTTGTCGATTCAATGTTATATTTTTCGCAAAGTTATATAAGAGATGATTTTTCGAGAACGCAATTTGTACGAAATGCATTGTCCTGATGTCTTCCGCGTGCGTTTATTTAAAGTAAATGCGAATTGCGAGGGTAAATAGAAAACATTTTGTAATGTTACATTTAAAAATTTTTGAAACATAAACATAATAATAAACGGACATAAACGAAAATAGGATAACTACGACAATCCAAAACGTCATTGGAGTGTAGAACACCAAAATTATGTAAAATAATGATATAATTGTGTCTCATCAACTTGTAGATATTATAATAAAGTTTAATATTATCGTTACAGAAAATTCCTGTAAAAATTATGCTTTTGAGAACATATTATTTTTTTAAAACTTTAGACTTTGTCGTTGGAACATTAAAATTTGTATTTTTTTTGTGGCAAAAATGTTACCTTTTATTTCTTTTTATAAATATTCAACATATAAATTGTACTCTTTAATCACATTATTTGTTGAGGAACACAATTTTTGAATAATGTACCAGTGACAATGCCTAAAAAGAGACCTAATAATAATATACTTAAATACACAATTTTCATGGAAATTTTCTATATGTCGTCGATTTTTGAGCAGTCACTGTTAATAATACAAACAATAACAATAATGACAACTCTGATAAATCTTATTCGGTCAATGGTGATGGAACAGCCAATGAAGTGGGTGAAGGTGTCGCTGATGGTGCTTGATTATGAGATGGCGATCCAGAAGGTGAAATGGCGTATGGCATTTCTACAGCAAGCTCCACAAGCATGTTGAAGGTATCACCATTGTGTTGATGAAAATATGCGTTTTCTAAACTGCGAGATGAGAGGCCACGATTTTGTAATTCGATGTGTTGTTGAACACTTGGTGCGGTCAGTAGATGCTCACGAGGAGCACTCCAGTATGCAGGTTCGGCATTTTGTATGTTGTTTCTGCACAATGAAAAATATTACTTTTAATTCATTATTCTTAAAACTTAACATCTGTATTTCCTTTCATTGTGACAAATTAAAACTGTGTAAAGGACTTTTAGATTCCTGCAAAGCGACAAGGAAATTAATAAAATGTTTTAATAATTGGAAATCTGAATCTATATACAGAATATCCCATAAATATGCAAGTCATTTTACAAAGGACTTACTATATTTCGTAATAATGAAGCAAGTTACCACTATGTATTATTATTAACCAATATTTATATATATATATATATATATATATATATATATATATATTCTTCTAC